TTTTTTTTATTTATAACAACTGCATAGCATCATTACAGTAGATATTTATTTTCTCTTCTTTCTCTTATAGGTTCAATAGCAACTAAATTAACATAAAAATCCAAAATCGTATTGTTTTTTTTCGTACGAGTAATTGTTAGTTAGACTTATATCCGTTTTATGTGAAATACGTTCAAAGGGATTCCACATAGATTGATGCAATAAGAACACAAAACAAATGTTGCCAAAGATAATAAAAAAAAAAGATTAGTGATAATATGTTAAACTAACTATAGTCAGAGGTAAACATAAAAAGAGTCACGTACGATTGCGCTAAACAAAACGTCCATCAATATAATTGCTGATGGGTCCGATGTTAAGCACCAAATTGGTTATCTGATATGCCAGTTACCTTATTTTTTAAGGTTATAAATACACCGTACTTTAGTAGCAACATTTATGGTACGACCATCTTGTGTTTCAACACTTTTTAATATCTCATTTTATTGAGATGAAGATTTTATGAATAATAAAAGTTAAAAAAAAAAATAATAAAGTTATAAACATCATATTTTGTTTTTTTTTTATTATTATTATAATTATTGCATTGATGAATCACCTTAGTTCAAATTTTATTATATAAAAATCTAGACACAAACATTTAGAGATGAGAAGTAGCTCGTGGCTTCGAGCGTATGTCCGCGCAGGTGGGCGCACATCCAATACCTACCACTACCTAAAACTGTGTTCAACACAGCATCTTTTACAAAATCAAAGTATTGATAGTACTGTTAAATTACAAGCTTAGTTTGCCTTTTGATGATTAACGTAGCCGGCGGTAACCCAGTTATCCATTCCCATAAAATGTAGGGTAATTATTTTTTTAATGTCGAAACGCGATGGTTCATTTTCCAAGCGGTCAGTATTACGTGAGCCAACCTATAGATAGTTGACTACGGCCCATTGACCACGCTTCACCGCGCTGCACTTTCACTCGGCACATACCTCATCACTACATTATGTTGACGTTGACGGCTATTTATAGTTTACTTATATTTAAAGACATCTTACTTCATAATACTAAATAGCTTTTATCTGTATTGGAGACATTGGAGAGCGTCAGTGGCTCAGGAGACTTGCAATCTGCATGTCCTGGGTTCGAATTGCACATATCTGAGAAGAAACTCAAAGATACGGGTGAAATCAACCAACCCACACTTGGCCAGCGTGGTTGTCTATAGCCTAATCATCCGTTACTTAGGGTAGGCTCCGAGCCCCTCGGTGAGGACGTATAGTGAGCTGATGATGATGATGATTGTCTGTATTACCTTTAAAATACTATTTGAATTTACAGATGTGTTTACGTGAGAAAACAAATAATGGAATATGTTAAAAAATTATGCTTATTAAATATTTTTTGTATTAAAAAGCATAATATCTTGCTCTGTATCTTTAAGAAACATTTGAGTAATTAAGATTTTGAATGTCACCAATAAATAAAAGTAATTACATAATTGTATTTCAAAATCGTAATTAATTATCGTGTAATTCAAAAATCGATGGGTAAATTTGCTAATTATAAAAAGATTTATTAGTTTTTATAGGATACATTAATCAGATGCGCAGTTTCCTTTGATGTTAAATGTTTTACATGTTTATGAATCAGCAAACGTACATCCAAAACATATGAACAGTTGAATGTACGTTGACCTTTGGTATCAGTCACATAAGTGTAATTTCATACTTACTATCTTGCCATAACTTTGAATAAATAATGATTCAGCTTGTTTACCTGAAAACAAAATAGAGAATAATAATCAACTATAAAACTATGTTATACATCAGTCTTTCCCATAGTGGGCGATAACGCCCCCTTATGGGAGCTGCAGGTCTCAAGTTGCGGGTTATAGTAAAAGTTTCGTTTAGAATTCTCCGTTAATATTCATATATAGGTCACAATAATTAATTAATTTGAAAATAAGGGGGCGCTAAAAGATATTTATTCTCAAAGTGGGCAGTAGACAAAATAAGTTTGGGAACCACTGCTCTTGACAAACCATATCTAGAGTCACTTTAAACTTCAGTATTCTGCGCAGTAATATTATCATAAACATTCAAAATAATTCTCATTTTCTATGATAAATTATTCGTCGTAGTCGTAGTATGTTCGTCAAAGAAATTACGCAGATATCCCAGACGTTGTTTACAGAAGAAACCGGTTCTGAGATATCCATACAGACTCACTTTCCTTGCGGCATGATTATACCAATAATTTAAAACACCAACAAAAACTTCCCGAAGCAACGGAATCTCGATTGAAGGTTCCTCACGTTATAATATGATACCTATTAACAACTGCCGGGTTTAATGAATTGCTGACTCTCGGTTTACATTGTTGAAAACATTTGTGTAGAAACATATCGCTATCTCATTCACTCTCTTTGATAAACCAGAGGTAAATGTATGTTTTAATACATGTATTTTGACAGTGTAATTCCATAGTACTATACTTTGAAAGGTCAATTTGTTTTGGTACAATTAATGTACGCAGAAAGTAACATTGGAAGGTCCTTGAATTATAGGTCAACTTATAAAATCGTTGGTTTCTCGGAACTTACACTTTTATAATTACTTACATAATTACCACGGTTTTGTTTTTACATTTCAACCTTAATTATTCGGAAATTTAAAGCTTAGTATCAAAAAAATAAACTAAATTTATTCACGTCACTGATGAAATAGATGACCAATTTCAAAATGAATTTGAAATATTAGTGCATTTTATTATACCATTTGGATGGACATTAGCTTAGTAATTTGCATTGCGACGTCGAAGAGGACTTTACCTATTGTATTGCTAGCATTCATATTTTATTACCTTCTAAGACCGTTTGAAATTGCCTGTCAGTTACGTTAGTACCGTTGAATGGACATTTACTACGATCATATTACTTAGGAAACCTCTAAAGTTCCAATACAATACAGACTTACACGCCTAATCACTTTTATGTAGAGACTCATTAGTTGTCCAAGATTCGTCTGTAATCTTTTCCGTTACAAAATTGTTCTAGATCTATTCAGTGGTTCTATAGTTACGTGATAACGTCCACCTAACGTTAAACTTTTGCATTAACAATTAGCAAGATAGATAAAAAGTTTTTTTTCTATAACACTATACGGTTGCAAACGAGCAAGCGGTCACCAGTATTCGTATTTACAGATGCGTTGAAATTAACACAGGAAGGGGATATTACCAATTCATATGAGTCCTCTTCACCGCTAAAATTCCCTGACCAGTCTTTTCTTATAAGAACAGGATCGGTAGTAAAGGACTAAAATAAAGCCTCTTATTGCTATTGCTGCGAAATATTAAAATGAATGACACGATTCATTAAAAGAAGTAAAATTTTGAAAGTAGACTTAAATAAAGTTTTTTTTTTTAAGTCAAACTCAATCATATCTATGTATGAAAAAAAGCTTTACGCACATTTATAGTTTATTTTTAATCATTAACATGTCATCAACTTTAAATGCCAACGAAGATCTAATTAGAGCGATATAAAATTTATTGAATTATATTTCAATGAATTAAAAACTTGAATGATATAACTTTGATATTTATATTACAGGATGTAATAATTAATCTTGTAACCTATATTATATTGAACCCATTTAAACTTCCTGCCTAAAGTGCATATTAGTCATCATGAACATAGACTCACTACATACAGAGGTATCATTTATAATAATCACATTTAGTATGTACTAAAGAATTTCCAGGTCTAATATAACACAGACTATTTAAAAAAGATTTTTTTTAATTCAGTCACTCTTGTCGGCAGCTTATAGACATTCTCACTAGACTCTAAATTACTGCTGACTAGGTTCTATTTAACTATGGTGGTCCGATAATGGTATTCTCTGTTATCCACTAGATCATTATACTAAACAGACGAGTGAGCGACGGGCCGCGTCCGCGAAATAATACCTGTACCACTGATCCTGATGAAGGGCCCCGGATGGGCTCGAAACTAGTCGGTGCCGCCACCAGACGAATATACATGAGTGTTTAGCCGTGTTATATCAGTTCAGTATAATGTCTCACGAAAGTTTGAATAATTTAAGATCTTTATACTTTTGAGCGTTCCTCTTTGATATGCTAATGTTTAAAAAATTACATGTGTATTGTTTCTTATTTATCACAAGCTACATATTATATGCTTCATGATTCCTGTCTTCATACTTTTCTTCAATTAACTTCGCCTTACATATTCTTTCTTTATACTCTTACATCGTACTCGTACATTCTTTTTAGATCGGATTTAAATGTTTTAACCACATCAATCATGTCCGCGATATCAAAGTTATCGATCAGAACACAAGCGGATTACTCCAAAATGTCAACATCGTGAGAAAGATCGCGCGTAACACCTGCCTATTGACATAAACGGGGCGAATAAATTTTTATCGCCGATTGCACTGAGCGGCAATTGCGGTACATCGTTTACACGTTTGTACATCAAAGTGTCAGTGAAAGGAACCATTACGCTCAATACCGACACAACCAATTGTGAAATAATTTATATTGGTTATATACAGACAAATAATAGCTTATTTGCAGAAGTTCGAAGCCCTAAGAGAAATTAGTGGCAAGCAAATGTCACGACGCGTGCTTGACTGTGGCCTAACCTAACCTAACCTAGGGTAGGCTCCGAGTCCCTCGGTGGGGAGGTATAGTAAGCTGATGATGATGATGGTGATGAAATGTCACGAACAACTTTTTTATTAGATTTATTGTTTGTCTTTGATTAAACTTTTCATTGATTATTTTGGGTACCTTACAGGAGGTATTAAAGAATAAACAATTTTAATTTTTTTTTATTTCGTGAACATTTAATGTTATACAAACTTCTTAATTGGTTTAAAAAGTAATTTAAAAAACTTATTTCAGTTTATGGTTTAATTTCACTTCTCTCTGTTGTCAACTGTCATATGTCATATTACCAAAATGGCAAACCAACAATTTCTTCACAAACTTCTTTATATTTTCGAAAAAGTACATTGTCATCTAATGGTATTAATCCTAACACCTGGATTCCTAATCTTTGAGATGACTGTGGTCAGACCTGCTTTGATTGAAATCTACAAACCGGGCATCGCTAAACAATGTCTCCACATTTTCCTTTGCATGTTTTGTTTTATCAATGTGACTGGAAACATGATGATGAGCATTTACTTTGATGGGAATTTGAAAGACAAGAAACTGAAGCCCACAGAAGGTGGTGATTATTGTGAACTGTGTAAGACACATCGACCACCTAAAGCCTGGCACTGTAAACGTTGTAATGTGTGCATTTTAAGAAGAGATCATCATTGCTTCTTCTTCTCTAGATGTATTGGATTGTACAATCGGCGATACTATCTTTTATACCTCGCTTATATTCATATCACAATGATTTACTCTACTTACTATAATTATTACTTCGTTTCTTCTAAATTTAAAGACCACGGATTCTTCTTAGCAGTATTACGTATCTTGAATCCTTTATTAAGATTTTTTATTCCCGAGCCAATGTCTACTAAAGATTTGTATGTGATGTTATTTCTATTCAATGTTGGTCTCATTGCATGGTCAGCTATCTTGTTTCGATTTCATATGAAGAATACGTTGAGAGGTGTCACCGCGCATGAATATAGAGATCCTGCTAAGAATCATTGGAGAGAGAATTTGGTTAGTGTTTTTGGAAGAAGATGGTACTTAGCTATTATATGGCCATTTGTTGATAGTCCTTCATAATGTGACAATTAAGAAATATGAGTGTTATAGAATTTATTTATAATAAATAGCTATTAGATACACCATTGTTTTAAGAACAATAAAAATTTAAGTTTTACAATAGTTTTTACAATAAAATCCATAAGCATGCAAACGTATTTTAGTTTACTTTAGTAATTATTTATACAAACTAAAGAACACTATCTTAATATTATTTGAATCATTAACTTCATGGTAGTAGACAGCAACTGTTTAATCTTGAAATAAGATCAGCAATCACTTTTGCAATTTGTCAGAGTGATGAACATTCCCAGGGGCTAAACAACACAATGTACACAAATAGAAAAGCGCAGCAAACAGCCGTAGACTTTGGTGGTGCTCGTAACTGTTACGTAAGCTAACGACGCCGCGCGGCATGCTAATAGTCAGTACAGGAAGAACGCGCACGCGACTGCGTTTCCTTACATACGACTAACTTAGGTGCGAATCTAGTTATCACAGGTGATATAATATGCGATGAAGTACTTAAAATTATAATTATCATAAAGATAATTTAAAACATACCTGTAAAACATGTACGCGCGAAAACCTTCACGGTCATACGTTTAATTAATATTGTGATAAATTTTAAGACTAAAAATATCGTCGGCTATTGTATTGGTCTTCTGTTCATCAGATAAAAGAGCAAATAGGTCTTAATAGTTAAAGTGCCTTTATTTTCCAAATTATCAGGATTCAAAAGACAACAGTTAAACGATAATAAATGCATTGCCTTTGTCTAACATAATAAAGTGAGGTTGCAAAGTACGCAGCATAAATGATCGTGCAATGCATAAGGCATGCGTTGCCTGTCACTCGGACCGTTATGGCCCGTTACCAACTGTTGTACTGTCTATGTTTATGTAGCTTGCTCTACTGGCATTTGTTACTATGAAATGTTATATCTTATGTTAACCTATAATGTTAGCTATCACACTGATAGTCTACTATATTTTAATCATCATCATCTTACCATATTTCCTATGTTGAGTTGGCGCAGTGTTTATTATTCTTTTATACATCTCTATCAGCCAATATACCTAAACTCATTTCCTCATTAGCCATCTCTTTATGGACCCATATCATTTCAATATGTAAAATATTATCTTTCAGCTTAAACGAAGACATATTTTATATCATGATTGGCGAATTATTAATCTTTATGCTTGGCAAAGCGAATTTAATTATTGACCTACTGCAACATTAAAGACATGAATATGTTAGTGCTTATTTAAATTAAGAATCATGGAGGCTAAAGATACATTTTTCGCTTTTAATCTTTATCTTTATTCTTTACTGTACACGCAGTTCATACAATGGCGGGCTTAACTCAATATTAATTAATGAACTAACGCTTGAATATAATCCTACGTGATGTTGATGTGATCGAAAGAAATTACGCGTTAGTTTAAAATTTTATTAATCCACATACTATTTGGGAAATTTTATAAATTATTTTTCGTAGTTATTTGTCCGTCACGCTGAACAATAATTCGCTTTATTTCCGGTGTCGGTATCGTCGCATCGCATGTCAGAATGTTTCCGTAATCGCCACAGCTAACGTTTCCGTGAAGTAACACCTCCTTCGTAATATTTACCTAATGTTTTACTCAATTATAAACATTTCGAGGATTTTTTGTAGTCTGAATTTACGATGATACCAAAAATATTTGATTGCTTTTGTCGGGTTCTTTAAATAGAATTGAATGCGAAGTAACATACTAAAATTTATGTAAATATTTTGTTTGTCTAAGAGATACTACACGAAGAGTAATTGAGTTTTTTGTCAAATCTTACTAATATTATAAATGTTTAATTTTTTTTTTTTTTTTATTTATTTATATAAACAAGGAATAAAATACAAATTTACAATAAAAGTGTCTATAAACCCATTGCGGGTTTGTCCAGACACTTTGGTACTACGCTATGAAACGGTAGGTAAGTTACATACTTTTTTTTTGTTTACAGCAAATTGGTGAGCTCGCTCATACCGTCATATACAGGGTGCACAAACGCGTTATAATTTTATTAGACTTAGGATTTTAGATAATGATTTTTAAGTATATTTTTTATGTTTTTGTTGTTTATATTATTTTTTATATCAGTAGGTAAATTATTTATTAATGTTGGAATTATATATTCTGACGTACGCTTACCGTAGACGTTGATATAATCGGGGGTCGACAATTTTTTATTTGTTACGCTCCTAGTTGTAAGTTTATGATCAATTGGGATTTGAATTTCAGTCCGAAAATATTGTTCTACTAATAAGTTATATTCTACTTTTTTAAATTAAATGAATGGATGGATGGATGCATGTTTGTTAGTAGATATCTTCAGAATGGCAGCATGGATCTCAATGAAATTTAGCATAGAAATATATTACCTAATCTGGAAGATCACATACTTAATTTTTTTTTAATTTCGCGCGTGTGGAGTCGCGGGCAACAGCTAGTTAAACACAAAATATATCAAATAATGAACAAGGAACGTTTCCATTCCGAAAACAAGCTGCCAAGATTTCTAAAAGATGGGAAAAACTAAAAGAATTTCTCTTGAATACGTCAAAATACAGGGTAATGTTTACAAGTTTACCAGAAATATAACAAAATATCAAATATATTCAGTGTACACTTCAGATTAATCGTAGTATTTGTGTGTCAGTTAATTCAGGCCGTGTATATTTAACTGGCTTCTCAATGTCTTAGCCTGAAGCTTACAATTGGTCACTTGCGTTAAACATAAATCACTTTTATGAACAGTTATAAAACTTCCGTTATTTATTGATTCGAAAGATAAATTATATTTAATCCACAACTACTTGGAAAGGTAATAAAAATAAATTACACATTTTGATTTATGAAGAATTTTTCATTACCATAACCAAGTTTTTAGGACAACGCCCATGAAGATGTTTGTAGAAATTTATGACCTAAGAATAATTAAAGTTTTATAGGTTAAGTGAAAAAGACGTTAATAAACGCGATCCTTTTAGAATATGTAAACATTTCAGCATCAAATTTTTGTAAAAGACTGGATAACGTGGAATTGCACGTCCTTTGAATTCACCTATGGTAAACTGATATATAAACACGGCTAAACACGTCGCTCACGGGTCGCGTCCGCGAAATTTTACCAGTACCACTCATCCTGATGAAGGGCCCCCGATGGGCTCGAAACTAGTCGGTGCCGCCACCGGACGTATATACATGAGTGTTTAGCCGTATTTATATATCAGTTTAGTATAATGTCTCACGAAAGTTTGAATAATTCAGCTATGGTCTTTAAAAAGACTAATGAATGTTTATTTTGTCACTTAAGTTAGCTGTCATTATGCAATCGAAGTGCGAGATAATATTAAAAGTCATTTTAAAACGTTGCTTAAGTACTCGGTTATTGTGAAACGTAGACCGAAGACATTTTCCATCATCTATAAAGCTTTTATTCTTTGACGTTCTCAATTAATAACGTCAAACTTTACGACACTGACGACATAGTATCACGCATCCTTCCCGTTATGGGGTGGATAAATATCATGTAATATTTCTTTCAATACTTAAGTTATTGTTTACAAAAACTATGAGTTGTTCCTAACTGTCGACCGCGACTTTGTCGCCCGGAATTAAAACAAATAACTTAATATGTAGCCTATGTGTTTTTCTTGACTATGATCTACATATGTGCCAAATTTCATCAAGATCTGATGAGCCGTTCTAAACTTTCGCATTTATAATATAAGTAAGATATTATTAAGAAGTCAGTTATTTGTTAATGTAGGAAATATAGTAATTTACTCGCTTACTCTCTGTAACTTACTTGTATTGTTGACTTTCGGCGTAAAATGTACCCTTAGTGACGATTTAACTTTTTGAACCGAGATATTCAGACTTTGTAAATCAATGCGTTTAAAATTCTAAAATAAACAAAATCAACACCCGATTATTCTCCAAAAACATGACGACAATTTAAATGTATCAAAACTCTCAACATTAAGGTATTAAATTATTTTCTTACGTCACATTTTAATTTGTATTATGTAATGGGTCATTAAGCGTTTATATACCGTAGTATAAATTATCGTTTAAACAGAAAACTCTATTTTCCATAGGTATCATTCCAGTCGTAATACTTTTACTGCACGCAATAAAAACCACTTTCGCTTCATTACCGCATTACAGATTTAATGTAAACTTATCTAGTTTACAAGCCAATTATCAAGATATTTTCAACCTTATAGACATGTTTCCTACACATTTATACTAAAGATATTACATCAATGGTATTGCAACGCAAGCAACTTTAAGCTTTAATACCTTTACACAAAGATATATAATCGATTGAAGTTCTATAATAAGATGTAAGTTGATACATCATCATATTAAAGTTGATATCTGTAGCTATTTCGTAACGTGAATGTAATTTCCTTATGTGAACAGGAAACCTCATAAGTTTTATTAACTTCATCTGATTTATCTGAGGTTCTTTGGTAAATTATATACGTTTTCATACCGTTTAACTAATCTTGATACTTTCACTGTGTGTATGCGTATTACGCAAGTAATACAAAATTTATATACTAATTAATTTTTGTTTTTCCTAAAGTATCAAGTGCTATTTTAATAAGTGATTGGTTTTGTCAATTATAAGTTAGTAAATTGGATCTGAATATTGTTTGTATGATCTCAAACGTCTTCAAATAACAGTCATCATATCATCATCAGCTCACTATACGTCCCTACCGAGGGGCTCGGAGCCTACCCTAAGTTAAGGGTGATTAGGCCATAGTCAACCACGCTGGCCAAGTGCGGGTTGACTTCACACATATCTTTGAATTTCTTCTCAGATATGTGCAGGTTCCATCACGATGTTTTCCTTCACCGTAAGAAAATTCAAATAACAGTATTCATTTCGTTTTGCCTTTTTTCTTATACTAATATTAATATGATTTCTTTCATGTATTATGTATCAAGTACGATTCTATTAGCCCTCACTGGACGCACCGCACGCAC